AAACAACTCTACAAGAACTGGAAAGGGGAAAAGGAGATTAACAGCAAAACAAAACAAAAACATATAGACAGTGGGATATTTGCTTTCGTATAATATCTAAAAAATCTCTTGACTTCATGACTGGGATATGGTAATCTCTAATACATTCTCTACTCATATGGAGAATAGAGCCCGATCATAAAACACTTTCCAACTTTCCTTAATATATATTCTCGGGTTCTCGTGTAGTGTCTCTGATAAACTATCTATTTCTGCAATATCTAATAAGTTTTTGAAAAACTTCTCTTTCTTTGGAATTTCCTGCATTTTCCAACTCTGGACCCAGATCAGCCTTGCAGCTGTGAATATGTGCAACAGCATATATTTAAATTTTTTTATCAATAATTTCTGGAATTATATTCAACAAAAATATTTCTGGTTTAAAAGTTATTTCTTGATGTATAATTTCTTGTGAAATATCTTTTATCTATCTCCAAATATTTTTTCCTCTGTCACAAGTCCACCACATATGAAGAAAAGTTCCTGGTTGCTGAGAACATTTCCAACATGAGTTGCTTGGCCCCAATACCATATTTATTAATTTTACAGATGTATAATACCATCTATGAAACATCTTTAAAAGATTTTTCTCAAATTTACTGGTTTGAGCCATCTATAATTTTCATTCCACATTCAGGTCCACTCATCTATATCTATATTGTAACCAAAGGTTTGAGCTCATTTAATCATCACAGTTTTTACCCTTCCATCCTCTACATTATATTCTAACAAAAAGTATACAGAAGGTTTGAGCTCATTTAATCATCTCAGTTTTTACCCTTTCGTCCTTTACATTATATTCTAACAAAAAGTATACATTTTGTATAATGTTCTCACTAGTAAAATTCCACAATTCATCCACCTGTACCTTCCCCTCATAAAAACCCACTGCTTTATTTTTTAAAAACTTTGATTCTGATTTTAGCATTGTCCCCCAGTCTGTTTGTAAACCCAATTCCTTTAACTCTTGTATGTTTTTTTAATTGTTGTTCTTTGGTTCACAATTCTTTGTACGTATACAGTGGTACCTTGACTTAAGAACGTAATCTGTATTGGGACTGCATTCTTAAGTCGAAACGTTCTTAAATCGAAGCACCATTTCTCATAGGAATGCAGTGAAAACCATTTATTGTAATCCCTATCTGCTGTTTTTCGTTCTTAAATCGAGGCGCTGCTCTTAAGTCAAAGCATTAGTTCCTATAGGAACTAATGCAAAGCCGGTTAATCCGTATCTACAACTAGGGGGCGAATTTTTTGTATTTTTCTTCTTTTGACCTAGGGTGAACTTATGTAGGTTAAAAAAAGGGCAGGAAAGTTTTTTTTTTCTCTCTCTTTTTTGGTTCTTAAATCAAGGCTCCGTTCTCAAGTCAAAGGAACTTTTTGCGAACGGAGCTGTTCTTAACTCAAATCGTTCTTATATAGGGACGTTCTCACCCACAGGTACCACTGTATCTCCATTCTTCTGTAATTAAAAAGGATTGAGTAAAAGCTTCCAGCAGTGCTACCCAGACTGGGATTTTTTTGTACATTTGCTCCCAAAATCTTTGCCACACCTGTTATAATGCTTTCCTTACCACAGGATCAAACTATCACCACTTATGACCTTTCTTCATAAGAAGCATCTTCTGCTATTCTAGAACTGTGTCTTTTTCATGTAGTTGATTTGAGTGAAATCATGTATATTGCTCTATTTCTCTCATGCTGCCTTACCCACACTTCTTTCCTTGTATTTCAAGGAACAAGTCAGAGTCCTCATTCTCTAAAATGTAAGAGAAGCATCTCATCTACTCCATGTCATAACCCTAAACCCTAATTTTATCAAAGAAAATTTTCCATAGGATATTAAAACTGGATGGGAGGGCAAATTTCACTTAGCACAAGCAATTTGGCATTTGTTTGACTTCAAGTAATTATACATTTCCTGGAAAGTGACCTGTTTTGGTTCTCTTAACAGCTACTTCTGCACATACAGAAACTGAACACGCTAGTAAGTTTGCATCCCGAATTTTTCCTTTACAACTATCTCAGAAGTCATGTTCTGAATGGTATTTTTGGAGCCAGACAGACACTTTTCAATTTTCTCGCTATTTTTTGCCAATTGTCTGGTGAAATTATGGCTCCTGATTCCTGCAGTGTTCTTTTAATTGTTTCATAAGCCTTTTATTTTTTACCAATTAATTAGTAAGAAATCTACTCCAAAAATAGATTTTCCTTGTGAAATAAATCATATATGTCTCAGAATACCTTTTCCATGTTGTATATTACATAGTGAATGGAAGAGAGAAATTGAGCAGAAAATTAGGATAAAAATCAAATAATTAAACACATAATGAAATTTCTGTTCATGTAGTATGTTATTTATTTTTACTTGATGGGTCTTACCTTGATATTTATAAATTGCACAAAATCTGACAGATTTTGATTTTCTTAACAGCTACTACAACTCCGGAAACAACAACAAATGAAGAAAGTGAGTATCCATTCTAAATCATCATCGTAAAATTTCAGTAAGCTGATGATTGGCATTTCAAGTGGTTTCCTTCTTCAGAATTCCAGTTGATTGCTATATATAGTGGTGTCTCGACTTTCGACCACAATCCGTTCCTGAAGATGGTCATAAGTCGAAATGGTCATAAGTCAAAGCACCATTTCCCACAGGAATGCATGGAATGTGATCAATCCATTCCAGCAAAAAAAAAAAGCACATTTTTTTTAAAAAAATAAAGCACTGCAAGTGAACATGCTGGGGCTGCAAAACAAACAAACCAAACAAAAAAAACATATTTTTTTTTAAAAATAAAACACTGCAAGCCTCATATGAACATGTTGGGGCTGCAAAACAAACAAACAAACAAATCAGAAACATAAACACCCCAGCCCAAACTCACCCTGCAAAGGCCACCAAAAACACTTTTTAAAAAGCAAAAAGCAGCATCTTACTTTAAAAAGCACCCCAGGGCTCCCCCAGGTCTCTGGCACCCAGGGCTGTCCATGCGCGGGGGAGAAACTAAAGAGGCTGTGGCCAGGGAAGCCAGGAACCAGGCAGCAGGAGAGAAAGGGAGCCTGAAAGGCTGGCCAAAGTGAATGGGGCCAGGACAGGAGACCTGGCCAGGGTAGATCCAGGTGGGCGGGTGCCTACTCTGGAGTGGCCCTCCCTTCGGGGCAGCGGACTCCCAGTTCATGCTCAGCCCCCTCTGGGTGAGGAATTCCCGGCCAAGGGCAGTGGCCTGGGCACCTGATGGACCCCACCCATCCCCCGCCACCTCCTGCTCCGCCACAGCTTCCTTCTGGGCAGCGGTGCTCACCTGGCTGGGCAGCGTGGAGGTGGCACACAAATAAAATGAAGATATCATAGTTTTCTCCCAAAAGTATATGGCGCTTTTTGTATTCTTCATATTTTGCCTCAGATGTATCAAAATGCATTGGCTGTTCATTTGGAAGCATGATTTATTATAAGGATACAGACTTTTGTAGTCAAGATTAGTCACTGATTAATGTTCTTAAGGTGGCTGAGAAGGAAATGGAAGAGCCACAATGTAACACTGAGTGAACAATGTAGGCAATGCGGCTTTTTCAGTCCAGTTACAGACTTTGGAAATGCAACAACAAAAGGTGTTTTATGACACTAACATCGCCATTTATGGAGCCAAATTGTCTTTCCTGCCATAATGGATTTTTGTAGAAGTTAGCAAGACAGAGTGAAAAAAACACAAAATGATTACAAAAGGAAGATGGAGTTGTCTGAATCCTTGTGAAGTTCTGTGGAAAAGGCAGAGTTGCTTTGCCATAAAAGGTTTTGCAAGATTTTTAATACAGTATTTCTAATGCAATTATCGCTATATGTGGAGTAGACATACTTTTTGTTTTTGTTTCTATTTTCAGCATCTACTGTACCTCCAGCATGTGAGTCATCACTAGTTTTCTTACCACCACCACCTGCTAACCCCCATTGCTTCTGGTATCACTTCAAGATTTTCTGGAACAATATAAAATGGCTATAGTTTTGATCCAGAATATCAGGATTGCATAATTTAACTAATACAGAATGTGTGTAATATAATTCTAGTTTTTCCCAAGTTTTCTAGTTGCTATAATCTGTGCACAGTGCAGTTCACATACCATCTTCACAGGCAGCCCATAGAATAGATGAAGAGTTATTTGACCTAATTTGATTTTTACAGCAATATCTTGGTTTTTAAAATTGCTTAGTAACCAGAAACTGTTTACAACTCCATATATAGTGCCAGGTCTTTGAATGCTCCACGGAGGTGATCACACCGATTTTTGTGCTCCACTTCCCCCTGCCCACCACAGCAATTTAGCAGCACGGTAATGGGGATGACAAAAAGAGAATATTTTCTTTTAAAATAAGGAATGAAGGCCTTGCCTTGCATCCAATTTGATTTGCACTCCAAGAAGCCTCCCAGAAGTGCTAAACTGATTGTGCAGAAAATGTTGGCTCACCATCTATCTTGTGTTGAAGTCTAATGGCAGTTGTTTTTTATCATTGCTGCCACTGTGTCAGCAAATCTTGGCACAACTTGCCTTGAAACAAGATGCTCCAATTGAAAGAGCCTTTTCTGTAAGCTCATGAGCACTTCTGAGATGTTTTCGTCATGACAAAAGTCCCACCTCCCGCTGACAATGAGTACTTACCCTCAGAGACTGTTCATCCTGCTGGGGGTTTTCCAGAAGAATTATCAAGTACATCCTAGATGGGCATACAACTGGAAGAGTCACAAAATGCTGTTCAAACACTATGTGTCCAACTGCTATGAGTCTGGTCAATAATGAAAAGCACCCACAAGGATTAATGTTCACATATATCTGTACAGAATATAACAATTTCTATTGAAAATGACATAAAATACACTCAAAGTGCTTTTTGGAGAAAGAATCTAAATTAAATATTACTGTGGTTCCTCACTGATGTCCACACTATGAGGAACTGGGAGGGCAGAAATCATGAGAGCACCATTCATGAAAATGATAATTAACTACATTCAATGATAGTTCGTTGTGGACTTAACAGCCATATTGATGCAGATAGACTCATACATGCTTCCCATTCTTTCTTTTTATATGTACTATTCCACTTTTGACTTCAGATACTTCTCCTTCAGGAGGTAAGTTATACTTTTTTCTTTTGAGATAATATAATATAACATAAAATAATAGAATAGAATAGAATAGAATAGAATAGAATAGAATAGAATATATGGTTCTGGAAATATGGAAGCTGCTTCACTGCCCTAGAGTAAAACAAATATACCTGAAGAACTTGTTTCTACTGAAAACACACACAAAGCCAAAATTGGAACCTGCATCCAGCAATATGTTAAATAATTACTTGGAAAGATTCCATTTCTATGGTTATATAATCAAATTGTGCATGGAACAATTTGATGCTATAAAGATTATTGGAGATTCTGTAGTGTGTTTTTTAGTATCATTTGCGGAGGATAAATGCCTGAGAATAAGCTGAAATGGTTTCAGATTTCAAAGTGAGGTTTCCTTACCAGTACATAACATTATTTCAACATTATATGCATGAAATTTTGATTCATGGTATCTAGGAAGCCAATGTGGCGGGATCCTCACATTTCCCAATGGATATATCTCTGGACCTTATTATCTTGGGAACAATATCACTCTTCAGTGTGTCTGGAAAATTGAAGTGAGTCCCCTGGATCACATAGTTCTTCGGATTTCTTACATTAGGTAAGTATAAGGGGTTGACAGATTTTCTATCATTTTTCTCCTGCTATAATAGAACTTTGCAATTATTTTCTAATTATTGTGGAGATCCTTAAGATAAGGATCAATTTATCTTTCCTTCCTTGAAAATTGTGCAAACACAGATTCCTGGATCCCGTTGCCTTTGAGAACTGTCATATAGTTAGTTAATTTTGTTGATCTGATACATATTTGACAGATAATAAAGTAGTAGTTTGACTCTCTCACTAGCTACTGTACAGAGTCATCACAGAGCTGGTGGATTAGCATTGACATGATATTATATGTGTGGGTTGCTACACACATCAGGTAAACCAGCCACTCAATCTCTCCAACATATGCATAATTCATCCCTGTACTGCTGAAACCCATGTATTTAACATTCTGTGGCATATGTGTCACTGAAGTGGAAGTGCTCTTTTTTTCTGCTTTAACATGTAAAATGATGGCATAGTAAAAAACAAATCACAATGAACCTATCTTCACACAGTCTCGACTGCAGTAAAGAATATATTGAGATTTTTGATGGAAGCCTGGTTTCCCCATACCTGCTTGGAAGAATGTGCTCTGACATCTATCTTGGTTATAATTATACATCAACTTCTAATACAATGACAATTCTGCTGCACAGAGATTCAAATTACATCGGATATGGTTTTGATGCTTATTACTCTTCTATACAAGGTAAGAGTGATCTATTAATGTAGCTAAGTTTTGTATTGTATTACTATTGGATTGTGTTGCTATTGTGTATTGAAAATTCAATGTAATCTGAAAGTCAACATCTGTATGTGGCCTTAGTGTGGGCCATTTCTATTGTGACCCTACGGTTGATGGCAGGTAATCTTGACATTATCTAATTATTCAATTTAAATAAATTAAATGAATTGAAATTTGAAAGAGACATTCTTGGTGTAAGACCAAATAAGATGAAAAGATACAATTTTCAGCCAAATGTTTAATTAAGGCACTAATTAGGCCCACAATTGTAAAGTAATCTTATACTTAATGTTAACAACTCAACTAACATTTCAGCTTGTGGCCATTTCACTGAATTTATTCAGAAATTTCTTGTGCCTGACTGTGGGCATGTTTTAACCCTGCTACATTCTAAGACTTTCTGTGCTGTCCTTTTAATTGTACAGTACTGAGAATTTTCTAGCAAACTGCCTTGGAAACATCACTGCTCCATGAATATCCCTGGCTCATCTACTCTATTATAGCACAAAACTGCATGGATAAAATCTACCCCCAAAGATGTGTGAAATAAAATCTCAGATATACACTATATCTATGCAGTGTACATGGCTGGAGACAGAATTAGAGTGAAAATGCATGCATGAAGTGGTCATTGACATTAGCCAGTAACAAAACACTTGGTAATAATCCAAGCATCTTGGCAAATAAACACACATGGAGAAGTAAGCATCTGTTGTGTGTTACGCAAGTTTGCACTCAGCAGTTTATCAGTGGGATTTACCTCTGAAATTGTAAAGGATCATTCTGTTTTCAACTGAGTGCAGAAACTACTGAGAGTCCTCTTGCAACTTATAGATGGAATAATATTGACCATCTACAAAGCCACTCTCATCACCAGCCATTTAATGCATTAGTCTTAAGACTGTTTGGTAAGTGGACTGCCAGGATGAGAGAGAAGGTTCTCTCTCTGGTTGTCTCATATTTATTGAAGGAAAGAGTCTCCCTTGGTGATGTTAGGTGATGATCAGAATGGTATAGGGAGAAACACTCTTGGAGATATTAAGGGCCCCAAGCTGTTCATGTTTTAAAGACTGTCATCAACACTTTGAAACAGGCCAGACACATAGAGACAGCTAGTGAAGACTCTTCCATACCATTATGATACAATTCTATGAATCTATATCAAAGTATGCCATCCACGGTGTTCTGTACCAGTGATAATTCTGGCAGCTACTTCCTATGCTAGGTGGTGCTTCCAGATCATCTTCAAAGGCAGTTCCATGTACAGTAGATTAGATTGTAACAGATTAGGTTATGATGATGCAGTGCTAATCCTTTCGTTTGCTGGAATCCAAAGTGTTCCAACAAATGAAATGATTGGCACTACATTATCATAATTTAATCTATTTATGTCACATTACCGAATAAATAATTGTTAGAATCATTACTACTACACTATTTACTATTCACCATTTTGTCTTTTTTAACAGAACCCACTACTAGTGCACCACCTCAGAGTGAAACAACTGGTAAGATATTGTTTCTCCCTATATGTACAATTTACTGGTTTATGAGGTAAAAAGTTAAACCTGACACTCAGTTCCAAACATGATGGCCAGAATTCTATTGGCAATTTCTGCTTGTGTAAGGAAAATCATGTAAACATGTAATCTTTATATTGTCTAAATTTTGTTGTTTAGTCGTTAAGTCATGTCTGACTCTTCATGACGCCATGGACCAGAGTACGCCAGGCCCTCCTGTCTTCCACTGCCTCTTGGAGTTTGGTCAAATTCATATTGGTAGCTTCGATGACACTGTCCAACTATCTTGTCCTCTGTCGTCCCCTTCTCTTATACTTCTGGGAGTTCTCGGTCCACATACTGCTGAAGCCTACCTTGTAGGATTTTGAGCATTGCCTTGCTAGTGTGTGAAAATAGTGCATTGTCTAAATAATTCAATTTAAATTAATAAAATGGATTGACATTGGGAAGATACATTTCTGGTATAGGACCAAGTATGATGAGAAGATACAATTTTCAGCCAAGGGTTGAATTTGACACTCATTATGTCCACATTTCTAAAGTAATCTTATACTTAATGTTAACAACCGAACTAGCATTTCAGTTTGTGGCTATTTCTCTGAGGGATCTGTAAGGCTGATTATTCAGATGTTTCTTGTTCTCAGCTTTGGGTATGTTTAAACCCTACTGCCTAAAATGTCCTATTTCCTTTTTGCTCTCAATGCTATTCTTCTACTTGTATTGATTGTTTTTTAAAGTATGTCGCCTTAAAAAGATGGTAAAGAGGTAGTTCTCAAAAATATCTTGTTGTGGAATGCTAAGCATATGGCTCCATGGATGTCCATGGCCCATGTGCTCTACTTGCTTGCCAATTTTTAAATACACAAATGTGGAGCCTTCTCCACCTCAGAAACTTTATAGCAACAGGGCTTCTGCTTACACAGTGGAATAGTGACTCCTCCCTTGTACAAATAACATAATTAATCCAATATATTTGTAGTACATTACTGAATGGATAATTGTTAGAATCATTCCCTGTAGCCAACCTTCAGTCTCGAGAGACTATGGTAACATGCTCTGAATAGAGGTCTTGGAACAGCATCTAATGTGGCTGAGAAGGCCAATACGAGAGTGACAATCCCTTCCACACTGAAGACAAATACAATCTGTCCCTTGTCCAGCTCCCTGATTTTGCTAGTTTTGGGACTGTCTCTTTGCGTCGATCTGCTGAACAAGTGTCTCTTCAAATTGGGAGAGGCCATGTTGCACCACCTCCCCCCAAGCTGAATGCATAAATATCAAGGTTTCCCATCTGTTGAGGTCCATTCCCAAGGCCTTCAGATCTGACTTGCAGATATCCTTATATGCCGGAATTCTGTTGACACATTCTATTTGTGTGAGGAAAATCCTGTAAGTTACAAAACATGCCTCAGAATGCAACAAACAGTTTGCTACTGAGTAGCAATTTGCCATCACAACTAAGACATTCGTCTTAGTGGAAACATAAATAGTTAGTAGGCTTCTGGTCAATGTGTCAGTTCTTAAAAGGTAAAGGTAAAAGTTCCCCTTGACAATTTTTGTCCAGTCATGTTCGACTCTAGGGGGCGGTGCTCATCCCCGTTTCCAAGCCATAGAGCCAGTGTTTTGTCCGAAGACAATCTTCCGTGGTCACATGGCCAGTGCGACTTAGACACGGAACACTGTTACCTTCCCACCAAGGTGGTTCCTATTAATCTACTTGCAGTTGCATGCTTTTGAACTGCTAGGTTGGCGGGAGCTGGGACAAGCAACGGGCACTCACTCCGTTGCGTGGATTCGATCTTACAACTGCTGGTCTTCTGACCCTGCAGCACAGGCTTCTGCGGCTTAGCCTGCAGCGCTACCACGTCCCTTCTTATTGACATGTAATAAAATTGTACTGTATTTTTCCTTCATCGGATCATTGGTGAGAGAAGGGATATGCTTTGAATCTGATTCATATTTACTCTTTGAATCAGATTCATTAATGAGAACACATTGGCTGAAATCTGGTTGCTTAATACAGTAAATCGCACAAGAGGAGGCCCATTGAATCAATAGGGATTGGGTGAATTAAGTCATTTATAAGTTCCATTTATTCAAACGAGCTTACTCTGTGAATTATGATGCAGTCTTCAGTATAAAAATATAGAAGTGGGTTAACCATATTTGTGCAGCATTTTTGATTGTATGTAGTAATTTAAAAAATAAAAGAAAGAGAAAAACTAAACTCTATCAAATATAAATGTCAAACTGTTAATTTGATGCAAACGTTTGCTCATTTTTGTTATGCTTACCTTTCTCACAGTTCCTCCTGCAAATTCAACATCAAGCCCTTTAAACAGTAAGTTCTGGTTTCTCCATTTAAGGTTTTAGTTGTAAATATATGTTTGAAAAAATTTGAGCACGAGACCTGCAAGTGACAACGCAGAATAATGAGTCATGGATAAATGCATCTGTCAGATACAACTTTAAACATTTGGTCCTGTTTCTGCTCTGACATAACTTCATGACTTTCACTAAATACACTTTGTGTCAGGAACTAACCTTTGCTTCTTGGTTAGGATTGATCCGAAACCTACTCAGCTTAATTATGAGTTATGAACAATTTGAATTATGGGATTCCATTGTTGCCCATAAGTACATAATTCAAATTTACATTTCACCATTAAAAATGATGAATTATGAGGAATTTCAAATATTGGCTAGTTGTCATCTTGTGGGACTTGGCGAGAATTGTTGCTCAGATATCAGAAATACAGTAATTGCTTAAATTCCGTGGTAATATTCTGGAGAAGAAACCAAACAATTAACGGGCTCTTTTTAAAAGAAAGCGAGTATAGAAGTAAATGTTTGTAATCATAGTTGAATAAAATTCAGTGTCATCTATGGGACATTTCAAGATTACCTGCATTACCTTATTGTGGATTTACATGAAGATCGTCATCTTTAATAGAGATGCCAGCTGGAAGGTGGAGGGATCCCCAAGACCAGGTTGTCTGGGTGCATCTCCAAGCCTTTATCTTAAAAAGAAACACAGGAACTGACTTATCCCACCTGTTACCTCAAATTCCAACAATATGGTGTTTTAATTTCCTAACAGCCTCCTCATAATTCCCTGACAGCCTCTAGTCAGTTTCCTGCCATGTTGATCGATCAGACATGTTTTACCATTCAGAAAAAGGAAGTGTTTATTTACATATTACCAACAGACGCATCCAAAGGCAAGTAGATAAATAGGTACCACCACAGTGGGAAAGTAACAACGTTCCATGTCTAGTTGCGCTGACCATGTGACCACGGAAACTGTCTTCAGATAAATGCTGGCTCTTTGACTTGGAAACAGGGATGAGCAATGTCCCCTAGAGTCAGACACAACTGGACATTTGTCAAGAGGAACCTTTACTTTTACTGTACCAACAGAGGCACTATAAACCCTTTCTAACCCACTGAAAATGAACCACAAGTCAACTCAGGAACTAAAATTGTGTTAACATTGAAATGTATTTGCTTTACATGCTGTAACATTTCTATGTATCATCATTCAGCACTCTCATGTTCGGGAGAGTACATGGTTGCACGCATCAGCAGAGCCTATGTCCGGTCGCTAGGTTATAAGGAATGGGATCTGTATCTGAATTCTTCAGATCCAGAATGTGCACCTCAGCTTTTAGAAGACTATGTTATCTTCAATATACCATTCAGTGGCTGTGGCACAGTAAGACAGGTGAGAATTTTATAGTTGCAGCAACTATTCTATCCTTTATAACATAATAATCTAAATGGGAGGAGGGTTTGTCCAATTGATGAGCCAACAAAGATGTAGGGCTACGGCTGAAATCCTGTTGAGTAAAATCTGCCTGTGTAACAGGAATGTCATCATCAAAAGTGACCAATTGCTGCTGATTAAAGGCTTCCTTTTGCAATTTTGGCATGTGTGGAACTTTACTATATTTTGTGCAATCCATGTGCACCTTGAAATGGCAAAAGGCCTTTAATCAGCAGTACTGCTGGTATCATGATTCCCACTGCGAAATGGAGTTGTGCATTTCAGCCTGGGTTTCTCTTAATCCAGAAAAGATACTATGCCTTTGCAAATGAATGACCTCTGTTCTTTGGGTTTTCTGAAGAACATGTGAAATGTAGTCATGAGAAATGCTTGCATCAGCTTTAATCGGTTAGCATTAATAAATAATTTATTTTATCAGAATCAGCAAATTAATTTCAGTCATTAATAAATAATTTCAGCAAATTAATTTCAGATACCGAGGAAAGGCAACCCTTTCTTAGTTTTAAGTACGATGCAGATCTAAGCTTTTAATCATGTCAAAGTAGAAGTGGGGAAATTTTCTCCAGAAAGCATAAGGTGTTTGTTAAACATCTACCTGCTCAGGACCACATTGGTGGTCATCCAGGTACCACCGTTTGATTTCTGCCTTGGATCCAAATTGTTTTGTAAATTTAGATTGCTGCCCACTTGCCTCAGAAAACCAAAATGCCTATAACCTTTAGTTTTGCACTTTGGGGTCCATTGTGTGACCATTAAATCTGGTCACACAATAGACGCCAAAAAGGGGAATAAATGTATCAAATTTCAGACCTCTTCCATCAAGGATGTGCTCACTATGAAACTTTAAAGTGTGACTGAACAAAGGCTTCAGAGGCTATCCATATGGACATTTATCCCACTGTTCGGTGTGCTGATGGCTTGGGTTGGTCCATATATATAAAAGGTCAGTTTGACACATCAGATGCCAATTTGGTCAGTGGTCATCCAGGTCCCACCAATTTGATTTCTGCCTTGGGTCCAAATTTATTTGTAAATTCGGATTGCAGCCCTCCTCTTCACTTGCATTGGAAAACAAAAATGCTTATAACTTTTGTGTTTTGCACATTATATGTGGTCACACAATAGACCCCAAAGAGAGGGATAAATGTATCAAATTTCAGACCTCTTCCATCAAGGATGTACTTACTGTGAAACTTTAAAGTGTGACTGAAAAATGCCTCTAGCCTCAGAGGCTGTCCACATGGGCATTTGTCCCCCTGTTCAGTGCACTGATGGATTGAGCTGGTCCACTTTTTCTCCTGGTGTCTACACATGGATGTCACTGACGTGGACCAATTTTTCCCAAACCTGTACTTTTTGAACCCTGTTGGGAGGTTCTACTGTTTTAGCACGGATTGGAGGGCTCCAGTTTAGTTCATTACCAGCAAGTGTGTTTGCTTGGACTGGAGTAACCTAGAACCTTGCATCTCCTTTTGGCATCAATTTCCAGTATTCTGAAGGATATCAAAAACTGAATCCTTCCCCTTCATGTCTGCAGAGGGTCAGGGGAAGTGAAATTATTTTTTAAAATGACTGCTGGATGATCACTGTTGCAATTCATCATTTAATTTTTCTTTTCTGAATTATTTGCCTATCTCTGCATTGCCAATCCAGACTGGGGTTGTGGACAGTTTCTCAATCAGCAATACACAGAAAGAGAAGTATTTTTTATAAACAAATTAAACAAAGTGATTTTATTGCATCGAACAGACATGAATAATTTCACTTCCCCTGACCCTCTGCAAAACCTCAGGGAAAACAAGTAATTGACAGTGAATAGATCTACAAAGGGTCCTGTGCCATTCAGATGGGAGGAGCATGCCAAATGGCACATCATCCCACTCTTCAGCCTCACCTTCTGTAGCCTGCACCAAAACAGCCAGTCGAGACAGGCCTTCGAATTGCATGTTGGAGCTGTTACTCAACAAAACTCAGTTCCTCTTGTTCTCTCCTAATGCTTTATTCACATGCTTTGTTTCCTTCTTGTAGTCCTGTTCCCTTCCTCCATTTCAGATATTTGAATCACTGAATAAGTCCAAAAAGCCTTTGCTTTTCTCTGGAACCAAATCTGCCATTTTTGTTTCTCTAAGCATCTCATACAAATTATGTGAATCCAATTAATTCCATTCAGGATGCTGCATTTGGCTGAAGCCAATGAACAGTCCTAATATAGACGTTTTAATATAATATATTTCAAAAAATAGAGTATAGAAGGTACACTCATCTCAGTTTTCCAATGCCAATTTAGAGAGAGATAATGTTATGAATTCAATAGCCCCTTTCAACATTTTGCACTGTAAAATGGAGATGTAAATCATTTTTCTGCATTTAAATGTCGTCTCTTCTGAGAATGAAATCATTTTTAAAAAATCAAACAATTCAATATTTGTTAGAGAAATTCATAACATTCTAGATTATATGATCGTCATGAAAGGTAGCTATAATATTAATCTCAATGTTCCACTTTATTTGAGTACATTAAAGTGATGTGGCATTCTTTTCAAATATTTCTCCCTTTCTCTAATATTAATTTCTTCTATACAGTATTTATATTTTTAAAAAGTTATATCCTAGCTTTTGTTTTATTTCTTTTTTATATTGCTCAACAGAAATACAGTAAAATAGACTCATAAAGTGACGTTTTAGTAGCTTTTTACACTGTGAAATATAGCAGTATATATTAAAATTATCTAATATAGCGCATGTTGTTATGCCAAGAGCAGAGTTACTTATATTGTTGATATAATTTGTGTTTCTTTTTTTACCGTATAGCAAACAAATAATAACACAATAACATACTCAAACATCATCAGGACACTTGTCTCAGGTTATATCATTACAAGGAAGAGAAACTTTCAGTTACATGTCATGTGTGAAATGAATGAAAATACAGTCGTGGAGACAGCGTTTCTTGCCCAAGATGCAGTTGACATTGTTGAGAGACAATATGGCCATTACAACGTGACTCTTGCATTCTATCAATCACCGTCTTTCATCTATCAAGTCTATGGGTCTCCATATTTTGTTTCACTTAATCAGAATTTATACGTCCAAGCTACTCTCCACAGTTCGGACTCAAATCTGGTACTATTCGTAGACACATGCGTATCATCTCCATATGCTGATAGCTTCACAGATTTGACCTATGACTTAATCACAGACGGGTAAGTATAGTTCAGATTAAGAACTTTTTATACAAGATAATTTACCTTCTGTTTGATATACATAAGGGAGCAATTACAAGACAAGGAGTGATGGATTTCCTTCCATGATTGTTTGTTTGTTTGTTTGTTTGTTGTAAGGGAGCAATTACAAGACAAGAAGTGATGGATTTCCTTCCATGTTTGTTTGTTTGTTTGTTTACAAGGTTTTTTTAGCCATGCCACTACCAGTGGTCTCTGAGCGGCATACAGCAATGTTAAAACTTTAAAAACATTAAAACCATTAAATGTAGACAATATTATAACAATAACTTATATTAAAAACAACCCTTAAAACATTAATATTAATAAATCCTGCTGCTCATATGGCCAGCTAAAGAATACTATTTAATTAAAATACTGGCTAAACAGAAAGGTTTTTTCCTGGAGCCGAAAAGCCAAAAGTGTTGGAGCCAGGCGGATCTCTATAGGGAGAGCGTTCCAAAGTTGGGGGGGGGAACAGCCAAGAAGGCCCTATTTCGACATGCCATCCCCCTCACCTCTTTCAGGGATGGTACCTTCAAAAGGGCCTCCTGGCCTGATCTTAGAGGACGGGCAGGCTCCTTTAGGTAACCAGGTCCTAAGCCATGTTGGTTTTAAGCCATGTGCAAATGAGGAGTTACTGTTCTCTCTGACAACCACATAAAAATGACAGCTTGATTCCCTTCTCACATCATATTTCATTAGGTGAAGCAAGAATTATAGGATGACAAAGACTCCTTACAGGTTAAAATTCCCCATTGTGAAAAAAAAGCTTAGTTGTTTCGCTTTATCCAAAGATTCTCATACAAAAGCAGAAGAGGGAAGAGGAGAGTTATGGCCTGCTAGACAGAATGGGTTGTATTATGAGAGGCCTTGTGTTGATAGCCATTACAGGTATTCTGTGACAGTGTCCAACTTCTGTTTAGTGCCTGATGGCCCCAGACTCACTATTAACTTGTCGTTTCTCAGACAACAAGCAGAGGATAGAGAGAACATCTGCCACCAGGAATAGACTGCTGACCTGCTCTCTGTAACCACCTCATTGGATTTTCATACTATATCTCCCCCACCGTATTTTTAACAGGAGCTCCTGCACCTCCGTCATGTTTCCCCTCTCCCAACATATCTTTGTGACCAATAGATCAAGCATGAGGTAGTTCCCTTCCTCACTTCCACTTAAACATGGAATCTGGCCTTCACTTTCATTTCTCCCTATACGACCCCCCCAAATTGACACACATGCACATCTTTGGTGGTGCTCCCATCAACAGCAGGCCCACCTCCTCAGCAACTCAGCTTATATGTCCTGCCATAGGACCAGAAATGTTTCAAGGGTAGGGATTGATGGTGGCAGAACAGCTGACTCACAACAGAAGGGTCTCAGGTAGAGGTGTCTCAGGTAGAGGTTCTCTAGGGAAGGAGCAGGCAGCAGATCTCTTTTCTTTGACAGGACGGCACTTTTTGTCCTCCTGTTCTCCCATATGTGCTCTTTGTAAGGTGTACTGCTCACACCACTGCCCAAGAGTCTCTTTATTGAGCTGTCTGCAGTTATCCCTTGTGTGATGTTGGACTTTCTCAGGATCACCTTTTGGTGGATTTCAGACTTCATTCTAAGTCGGGAGTGACTTAGGATTTCAACGTCTGCCATGCCAACCATGTATCTGTTGCAACTAGCATCTGGCTCCACGTATAAGGTGTGGCATACCCTTTATTTAGTATTCTCTTCTATTTGGTGATTTAAAGCTGAAAGGGATACATGTGACTCCATTTTCCGGGACAAATGCCCATTTTAGATACAAGACGAGTGATTGATTAAAATGGTATACTCCATGCACCTGATTGATTTGAATGGTTTATTGAATATACTTCAAGAACTTCTTACATTATATGATTGATCCATGGAACACAGAAATAACTGGGGTGGTTGACACTGTTTCTCCTAAACATCTATCCACCCTTGTCCAGCCAGGTTAGCTTTCTGGTTTAGCCATGAGCTGAGAGCCATGAAACAGGACGGGTAGAGGCTAGAGTGTTGCTGGGGGAGAAGTCAGGATGAATCAGATTGCAGATTGGCTGTAGCACATCTGAAAAGGAACAGAGCACTGACCTATGTCTTTTTCAAACAAAATCAGAACCCAAGCTAAAGTCACAGAAACTTCAGTGCATTGTCCACCAGGAGGAGCCTAATTTCTGAGTCAGAAGGAGCTTTCTTAGCTTTTCACTTCAGACTTCAGTGAAAAGGATGGGCATGAAACCGGGCAGCCTCTCCTGGCTGTCCTGAGATTCTGCTTCTCTGTGGGAATGCATTCTACCCTGAGAAGGAGGCTGGCTAGTTGCTACCTCTCTAAGCCCTCAGATCTGTGGGGAATCAAATTTTGTATGCGTGCTTTGAAAGCAAGAATGAATGGAAGAGTCCAAACTGTTTCTCTAGCAATCAGAGATCACCCTCTCCAACACTTTCCTCAGTCTACAAATCTAATTACAGAAACTATCAAGTGCAGAGTTCATTAAAAGCCAAAAAAAAAAAAATACATCCAAGAACTAGAGAGTGCCAGGAGGCAAGAAAAATATTTGGGTGGGTGGGGGAGTTGGATAAATGTCAGAACAGCTTCCTGCACAGGAGCGCTCTCTCTCTCTCTCTCTCTCTCTCTCTCTCTCTCTCTGTGTGTGTGTGTGTGTGTGTGTGTGTGTGTGTGTGTGTGTGTGTGTGTGTGTGAGAGAGAGAGAGAGAGAGAGAGAGAGAGAGAGACAGAGAGAGAGATCTCCAGCAGCCTTCCCATTTGCTCAAATGCAAATTACTTCTATTCATTTCTTACTACTTTCACAAACTCTGAGGATGGCTTCAGGGGTTCTAATAGCCACCTCCCACCTATCAGAGTTTGTTCCCATTCTCTAAATAAACTTGGAAAAACTATGTTTGATATTATTTTTCAGATGTACACAGGACTCTACCTACAGAAGTCTGTATTCACCAAGGAATAATGAAGCTCGCTTCCAGTTCAGCTCTTTTAAGTTTCTTAATCAATACAATGAAGTTTATCTGCAGTGCAAGCTGGAAGTGTGCCGGGCAGATGACTTCTCCTCCCGATGCTACCAGGGATGTTTAACTAGAAGAAAGAGGGATGTGGATGAACCTCAGGAGAAGGTGGAGGTTGTTGTTGGACCAATCAAGCTCCAGGAAGAGGACAAGGAAAAAAGAAAACAGGGTAACTTGGCTTTATAGTGCCATATCTTGTTATTATTCCTCAAAGTAATGTTACGGTGTTATCCCAAAGAATGCAGAATTGGGGTTAGAAACAGAGGAGCAATCATGTACATTGTGTTCTGAATGATCACAAGCTGAGAAAGAAAAAAAAATCTGTTAATGGTTTCTCTCTGTGGCAGAGTAAGTGCCATGTAGACATGTTGATTGTTAGTCCCATGATAAAACAGGCAGAAGTAATAAAAAGATCAACTAACTTTTATTAAAAATGTGACATACAAGATAGAAAAGCCTAAAGCCTAATTCTAACTAGATAAACAAGTGCCTAAGAGACCATGTTTGCTCCTTTGACAGTCAGGAAAAGAGACGGGGTGGGGGTGGGGGAAGAAGACTGATAGGCAGACCCTAAGATTATCAGTCTAGGAATAGATGAAGACCAAGAAATAGATTCGTGAAGGCTTTCACGGCTGGGATCTAATGGTTGTTGTGGGATTTTCGGGCTCTTTGGCCATTTTCTGAAGGTTGTTCTTCTTAACGTTTTGCCAGTCTCTGTGGCCGGCATCTTCAGAGGACAGCACTCTGTGCTCTGGTGTTCTTGGACTGTAACTCCCAGAAATTTTGATCAGCGCAGCCGGTGGTTAAAGCTTCTGGAAACTGCAGTCAAAAAACACCTGGGTTAGCCAAGGTTGGTAAGCAATGCCATGAAGGATGAACATACAGATCTGAACTGATTTCAACTGCCCTGAAACTATTGATTTGAATGGCTTATTTCACAATACTAATAGACCTATATATAGATTTTCTAACAAACCTTTTTTTTTCCTTCACAGTATTGATAGACCTATATTTAGATTTTCTGACATACCATTTCAACCTGTGTTTCTCATTTACAGACCTGGTTAAGACTGTACAGCCAGAGAAAAGTGATCCACTCATCCCACTTACTGTTGCTACTGTGCTGCTAGCTGGCATGGTATTTGTTCTGTTTGGCTTTCTTCTAAGCATTAAACTCAGAAGAAATAATTATCATCAAATCTACTGATACCAGTACAATGGCAATATAAACAGGCCATACAATTTCATAAAGCACTTTCTGCAGAATATTTTTTAAAATGCACCTGTAACATGTGTTTCTGAATGGGATTGGTTTCTTTTAAGATTGCACTGTAGAATAAGTTACATCAATGGCTGAGCATGTTCATTAAGTAAGTCACAGCAGAAGCCATAACTCAGTTAAAAGTCTAGAATAAAGATTTACTCTTTGATTATATCAGGGCTGGAGTTGTTCTTGGGCTGCAAATCCCATTATCCCTCACTGCAGGGTCTGATATCTAGGACCAGCAGTGGCAGCAGCCCATTCTGAAAGCCACCAGATTTCCTCCCCCTCCTCCACCCCTCCAACCTCTTATATCTAGTGACCCTTCTGTAGAGGCTGTCACTGCCTTTGTAAGATTTGGTTCCTGTTTTGTCTTTGTTGAGTATGTCACTTGAATAAAGTCTTCTACCCAATGCATATTACTTGACTTTTGTAACAATTCTATGCCTAAATACTGTACAATGCTATGCTCGGCAGAGAGGCATACAAACTGGTTTTAATTATTCTTAATAAACACGGTGTTAGAAAGGTCAGTTGTTGGACTTCATCAAAATCTTTGCAAAGGAATATATCACGAAAGAGTTTAAAATACCTATCCAACTATATTTCAACCTCTTTTTATTTCCAGTGTATGGCATTTGGTACCCTTTTTTGAGTGTGATTCCTGCCAAAACATAAGATAGCAGGTAGATTTTAGCCTGATTAGTTGAAGAGCTTTTGCTTAAGGTGTTTTAATTCATTTCAAACCACTAGGATTACAAATAGCTTAAAAACACAGGGCTACCTTTTAGATACTGAATAAAAGATCTTGCTGTCCAAATTATCTTTGTTATTATGCTGTCACTGTTTTCTTTGAAAAGCAAAATAGTTGCTTTAACCCTGAGCAGGATTTCTATGACATTTCACACATGCAACCTATGCTTGAACCCACAAGCAAGTTTGAACACGTTTGTGAGTAATCTGGCCTTCCTCATTAGATCACTCATAAACATGTCCAAACCCACGTACAAGTTCAAACATAGGTTGTAGAAAAAAATATGCCATATCATAGAAATCCTACCCCTACCTTTCCCACTCACTCCCTTTGTGTGTACTTCAAACATAGGTTGTAGAAAAAATATGCCATATCATAGAAATCCTCCCCCTACCTTTCCCACTCACTCCCTTTGTGTAGGAAGTTTCACTGCAAAATGGAGGTTGATCAACTGAAGGAAATTCAGCATATGAAGCACTCAGTCATCACTAGTTTTGGATTAAGCAAGCACACATGCACGCATGCATGCACACATGCACACCTCTTGCTTGCTGAATGTGAAGAAACATCAAAGTTCACTGTGAGTGCTACCAAAGTGATGTGGGAAATATTGAATTAAAGCAGCTCCTAACAGAATGGTGAACAATAATACCAAATAAATCTTCCAGGATTTTGTAATGGATGTAAAATGGGAGGCATTGTATTACGAAAAATGAAAAAGTGATAAGAAATTGTGTTATACTGTTGATGAGCTCTTAAGACACTTCCTTGTACATTGATTTGGATCAAATACCCCATAACATTTTACAAACACATGGGTTTTCTCTCTTAAGGATGAACCCTGTCATTAGGTGAAGTGAGGCAGTTGCCTTTCGTATGACAGCATATCTGCTTCACACCTTTGAAAAACTACAATCAAACTCAACATCATATATCACAAACATGACAAGGTTCTACTGAATATCAATTGCTAGGTGAGGATAAATATAAGATGGTTGTCGTCTATGTTAGGAGCAACAGATGTGGTGCTTTAGATGTTTTAAGCCTACAGCTGGTATAATTTCTTTCTTTTAAGGAAATTGTCTGACTACCAAGTAAGAAATAGAAATATACCTTCTTTTTAAAACAATCTGGTCACTTCAGAGATATCTGTTTTCCTCCTAAAAATTGCCCTAAACCTTTTAAACGTCTCAAAATGTAGGGGACATGAGGTTTTCCTCAGTTCTGAGTGGGAACTCATGAAGGCCTTATAGTAGCCACTAGTCACCGTGACAGATTTATAAGGGAGCAGTGAAGGCAGTTGCTCTGGAACCTCTGCCAGAAAATACAAAAATATAATAATTTTTAAAATAGTTTAATTTATGAAAAATGTATATTGCAAAGCAATATTCTACCTGTAATCACCTGTAAACGTGTCCGAATTAACCCCTAAGCAGAATAAATATGTGTTTAGGGCTTCAAGGGAAGGGGAAGCCCCCACTAGGTTTGCAAAAGGAAGGAGATTAGATCTTTGCTCTCCTTGACTGAAGCAAAGATCTGGAGGAGATCTCTTGCTTCCTTCCACTTAACTGGAAGGAACTGGAGCTGTGCTCGAGATCTTTGCTTCAGCCATGGAGAGCTAAGATCTGATCTTTTGCAAAGTGGATGGGAGCCTCCTTCTTTCTTAGGTCAAAGGTCGTTGTTGTTTAGTCATTTAGTCATGTTTGACTCTTTGTGACCCCATGGACCAGAGCACGCCAGGCCCTCCTATCTTCTACTGCCTCCCGTAGGAACTGCACTGATTGAAAACAAGGTTCCTGTTACCCCATTGGGTAGGAGGGCATAACTGGAAATAACACTAGGCCACTTGCAAGTATAATTAATGGAAATATTTATTTAAATCACAGCAGATAAACAGGAAATAAGATTCGTGGAATGAAGGAACAATATAAAAGAAATAAAAGGAAAATCAATGGATTGCTTACACAATACAATGCAATAGTGAAATAAAAAGTATAAAGCAGAAGAACCTGTATTAAAGTATCAGATGAAATTGCAGTTATGCAGAATTGCCACAGTTAGTCCTTTATGAAACCCTGTATTTGTCCCTAACATTCCACCAGTCCTCTAGTTGATGCTCGCTATGTTCCAGATGTTTGGCCTAAAGACTGAGAAAGAAAAGACTTATAGCTACCTATCCCAAGGAACAGGTTTCTGAAGATTCAGAGAAATATGCAGGAAAATTGATCCAGAAGAATCCAGATGGGAAAATCTAAAGAAAAAAATGTAAAATAGAATAGTGAAATCAGTCTGTGTGTGAGAGATTGTGCAAAAGGAAAAGAGGGAGGTATAGTGTCTCCCAGAAGGATTAGTCTGCTCCATTGTAAAAACTGAAGTTTCTCTCAGAATCAAGGCAAGTTAAGGCCTAAAGGCCTTGGAGCACTCAAATTCTGCAAAAGTAAAAATTTCAGAAGGGAAAGTGAGCTAAGAAGAATCTACATGTGAGTGTGAAAGAATGTAAGTCTGAGTTCCAAGCAACAATTGTTTTTTCCTCCAGTGACACCCCTAATTCTCTTGCCTTCGGACTGACTTCTTTACCTTCACCCCTAAAATTCAGTTCTGTGTTGGTAGATGGCAACTGGGAGAAAAAAGTGCATCACATCACTTTTCTTCATTCCCAGAAAGTGAATCACCCCTTTGTCCTGTGGTACATGATGTAACTGTAGCATCTTATAAGGGTATTCTCTGCGCCTGGTATTCAATCTTGTAGCCTCTCCATGCTGTTCCATTGTCTTCCCTTATTGCCACAGCAATCATATATCAGTCTTTCTTGGCTCATTCCGTCATTCAAAATGCTAGAATGCACCCTCAGCTCTTTTCGCCAACAGGAAACGGTCAATTGTGCTAGGTATGAAGAAAGCCAAAGATTTCCTCCATGCCATTCCATTGGCGGGCCATTCTACAGGTCAGTAATCCATTCCATAGGCCATATATCTACAGGCCAGTGCTGTCCATGCATCCACAGGCCTTTTGTTCAGTGTACCCTTGCACCATAAATCTAGGACCTGATTAACACTGATGACTCTGGTCTTCAGAAAGAAAAGGTTTTTGAAGAAAGTTCATTTTGAGTTCATCCTTCTGCTTTATGGATCTTCTTTTTCCAGCAGGGCTTTCACTGTGCAGGCTCACTCCCTACTCAGCTTTGAATTAACCATTAAGCAAAAT